GTCCTTGGAGTGAAGTTCGTCCAGCATGTCGGAGATGAATAAGGTGATGCGTTCGCGAAGGGCACGCGCCTTGGCTCGAGTGAGGGGTGGATCGGGCCTGTGGTTTGGGCGTGTATGCCTTGGCCTTGGCTCAACTAGAAGTTCCCCATAACTAGCTCGACATTAGGCAGCTCCTTGCGTTCCAAGCTATCCCGCTCCCGCTCCGTGCACTCCAAGCTATCTTGCTCCCGTTCCGTGCGTTCCAACTCTTTGTCCGTGCGTCCGGTCTCTATGTCCTCATCAGGTATCGTAACTTGAGAATTGTTCTCAAGCATGACAAGAAGTCGTACGTCCTAGAAGGGGCTCTACCTCCGGAGCTTGCAGCCAATGCAACAAGGGTCGTCAAGGATGCTTGGCTGAAGCATCGGATTGACGACAACGAGATTTCCTGTCTCATGTTAGGAAGCATGACACCGAAACTGCAGAGGCAGTTTGAGGGGAAGAGCGTATTTGATATGATCGAACAGCTCAAGACCATGTTTCAGGAGCTAACGTGTACTAAAAAGTACAAGACGCTGAAAGCTCTGGTGAAAACGGAGATGCCGAGAGGTAGCTCTGTCAACATCCACGTCCTCAACATGAGAGCTCATATTAAGGAACTTGAGCGTATGAGAATGAGGCTCGATGATGACTTGGCCGTGGATCTGATCCTGATGTCATTACCCGAGGACTATAATCAGTTCGTGATGCAGTACCCTATGAACGGGATGACTAAGAGCTTAGCCGAACTGCATAGGATGCTGAAATCGGCTGAATAGGATATCGTGGTCCCTAAGACTAAGGTTGCGCTTGCTGTTGAGAAGAACTCCAGCAAGAAACGGCGGGGTAAAGCGAAAAATAAGTTGACGAGGAAGGCAAAAGTTGCGTCTACGCCTAAACCTAAGCCCGATAAGGGTGACTGTCATTATTGTGGAGTGTCTGGACACTGGAAGCGTAATTGTCACCTTTACTTGAAGAATCTGAAGGAAAAGAAGCTTGGTGAAGCTTCTGCCTCAGGGATTTAAATTATAGAAGCTAACGTCTGTACTACATCTTCGTGGGTATTGGATACCGGCAGTGCCTCACACATTTGTGAAAATGTGCAGGGACTAAGAAGAAGTAGGACGCTGGCAAAGGGAGAAGCGGATCTGCGCATCGGAAATGGAGCAAGAATTGCTGCATTGTGTGTTGGCGTTTATGATTTGCATCTTCCTTTTGGACTTGTTTTAGAATTAAGTAATTGTTACTATGTGCCTCCGATTAGCAGAAACATTATTTCTATTCATGTATGAATTTGGATAGTTTTCGATTGTGATTGAGAACTCGAGTTTGATAATTTATCGAGACAGTATTTACTATGATAATGGTTATCTTGCGAATGGTTTATATGTCTTGAATGATCAGCCTTCGAACTCGATATCATCCATCTATAACGTGAGTGCTAAACGGTTTAAGCCGAACCACTTAAACCCGACCTTTCTCTGATATTGTCGTTTAGGCCATATAAATGAGAAACGCATTCAGAAGCTTCATCATGGAGGTCTTCTGAACTCTTTTGACTTCGAGTCTCTTGAGTCTTGCGAGTCTTGTTTGATGGACAAGATGAAGAAGCATCATTTCAAGGGGAAAGGACAGAGAGCGAAGAATTATTGGCTCTCATACATAGTGATGTATGCGGACCAATGAACTGTCCAGTTAGAGGAGGTTATCTGTATTTTGTTACGTTCACTGATGATTTCAGTCGATACGGTTATGTCTATTTGATGAGACATAAGTCTGAAACGCTTGAAATGTTCAAGGCATTCAGAAACGAAGTACAGAACCAGCTTGGCAAGACGATCAAGACACTTCGATCTGATCGTAGATGCTAGTATATAAGCCAAGAGTTCACTGACTATCTAAATGATTGAGGTATTGTATCACAATTAACTCCTCCTGTAACGCCATAGTGGAACGACGTGTCTGAACAGAGGAACCGAACACTGTTAGACATGGTTCGGTCGATGATGAGTCAGACAGATCTTCCGAAGTCCTTTTGGGGCTATGCTTTAGAAACCGCTCGTATCTACTGAACAGGAGTCCAACGAAGTCGGCTAAAACGACACCATATAAGATATAGATGGGGAAGCGTCCCGCATTGTCGTTTGTAAGAATTTGGGGTTGCAATGCTTACGTGAAACGTCTGATCACTGATAAATTATCCTGTAAATCTGACAAGTGTTTATTTATAGGCTACCCTAAGGAGACTAATGGTTACTACTTCTACATTCCGGGAGAGAACAAGGTGTTTAGTCCCGACTCCGAGAAATGGCGTGTAATACCCCAGATCCCAAAATAAATATTTAATTATTTTTTAGAATAAATAATTTAATAAATGCGGCTAATAATTCGGGAATGGAAGTAAAGAATAAAATAGAGAAGAGTACGAAGCCCCGAAAACGCCAAAAAGGCTCGAAAAATAAGCGAAGAAGAATGTTAAAATTCATCGTTGGTTAGGGTCGGACCAAAAAAATGGTCAACCGGACCAAAGTCGGATCGTTGGACCAAAACGAGGAGGAACGAACCTGAGAAAGAAAAAAAAAATAAATTTGGAAAACTGAAGTTGGTCAGCCGGACCAAGATCTGGTCCGGGGCTGACCAACACACTTAGGCGGAGTAGGGACAGACCGGCGGATCAAGAGAAAATTAGTTGGAATCAAGACCTGGTCAACCGGACCAGAATCTAGCAGCTCCGGACCAGGAGACAGAAAAGTGTCGGCAGACTTTTTGGTGTGCGATTTTCTCACGCATGGACGATCCATAACGCACCCAAACCGCACTAAACCGACAATGGATGACCCTAGCTAGCTCCTAGGCCTTATATTTCTTCCCTACCTCTCTCCTAGACTCCATAATTGCCCTCCCAAACCTTCTACTCAGCCATTTCCGGACTGAAAATTGGCAGAGAAAGAAAAGAGAGGAAAAAGAGAGAGAGTGAGAGAAAGAAGAGAGGAGAAGGAAGAGGGAGTTCGGAAAAGTGTTGGGGAACATCTTTGGAGTGTCTAGGAGGAGATCTCGAGGTTGAGGAACCCAGAAACATCAACCAAGCTCGACCAAATCAGATTCAAAAAGAATATGATCCAAGAACAGGTGAGTGGCTTGATTTGCGTCTGTGTAAGCTCGTTTCCATAGATGTGATTGAGTTATCTCAATGATTTGTTGATTGAGTTTGAAAGAGAACATTTCAATGAGAATTTAGAAACAAACGGCGCTCAATTTGGCTGAGAAACGAAGGAGATATGAGCAAACGAAAAATGAGGAAAAACTGATATTGCTGAATCGCGATTTTTCGAGGTACAGGCATTACGAATCGTTTTTCATTGTGTATACATGAGATTTAAATAATATATGCTTGGGTATGAAAACGGACATCCCAATGAACATTTAGAAACAAACGGTGCGTGATTTGGTTAAGAAACGAGTGAATTATGATCAATCGAAGTCAGACCAAAAACCTGAAAACGCGAACGGACGAACTGCCTAGTTCCGGTCCGCCGGACCAGTAACTGGTCAGCTCCGGACCAAGTCTGGGAAAATATTTTTAGTCCACCAGACCAAGGAGAAGAGGGTGAGGTAGCCTGATCCGGCGGACCAGACCTGTTTTGGACCAAAAATGGTCCGATCAACTGATTTCGCGGGAATGGACCGGATCCGGTCCGCCGGACCGAATCCCGGTCCAGACCGGACTAAACCTAAGATGAAAGAGAAGATAAAAATGAACAAATTGAATGAATACACGTGGTGAGACGTAAGAAATAAATACGGCGAGTGAATCGTTGTGTGCTTAGTTTTAGGTAGCATTGCATAGCGTGGAACGGTAAGACGGTGTGAGGCCGAATACCGTGATACACGTGATTTTAGCCGGGGGATGATGATGCATGTTGAATGCTATGGTTGAAGCTCACTCGTACACTACGAGAGGAGCGTGATTGTGATTGTGATTGTGATATAGTCGCATGCGATGCGACGACCAACGTCATGCGATGTGACGGGCGTGAGAGGCGCTCCTAGTCATGTGATGTGACTAGGCTTTATGGCTAACCTTATGGTGCGAAGCCATACGGGATTTGATTGTCGCGCAAAGCGACGGCCAACGTCATGAGATGTGACGGGCGTGAGAGGCGCTACTAGTCATGCGATGTGACTAGGGTTTACGGCTGACTCTATGGTGCGATGCCATACATACTTGATCGTCGTGCGATGCGACAGCCAACCTCATGCGATGTGACGGGCGTGTGAGGCGCTCCTGGTCATGAGATGTGACCAGGGTTCACGGCTAACCCTATGGCGTGAAGCCATACGGGAATGAATATGATTATGTTCTGATGTGATATGAATATATGTTTAATGTTGAATATTATATTTTATGTTTTATCGTTTTAACACCGTTCTCGCTGAGAACGAGTTTACCGGATTCAACCCGGGTCATTCACTAAACAGTTGTGCTTAGTCCTCGTGGTTTCACCTTTTTCAGATTACGAGGAGCATGAGTACCACGTTTTAGGTGACGAAGACTTCGAGGAGACAACATCGTGTATGAGGTTTTCTTATATGTTTTGAACTATGGAACACGGTTCCTATGTTTGTACGGTTGCACCCTTAGTATTCGGACATGTGTGTTTTAAGACTTAACTATTGTTTAATTCCTCTGCGTGTTTAATATTAAAACGATTTTAAAATTTTTGTACTTTGTTTTCGTAATATTTTATTTCTTTTAGTCCATGTGGCGCATCATGTGACGGGAATCAAGATACGGGTATCATAACTTTTGTTATCAGAGCAACGTTCCTTCCATGAGAAAGAACACCTCACTACCTCAAGGTTTTTACAATGAAAATGTTTTCAAAAGCCATGTCCCAAGAAAAAATTGTTTGCAAAGGACCGTACATATGATGTGTTGTCTGATGTCACCGCTAATGCTATCTTAACCGTGGTGCAGTGAAATGGTGCCACGACGTGCTCAGTCTATGATGGGAGACAACAATGTCCCCAATCATGTTCCCCAAACTGCGGAGTTTAGAGAATTTCAGGAGGAGATACGGAATGAATTCCATACATTCCAGGAGACCATGATACAAACCTTGATTGCACATCTCCCACCTCCACCCCCAGCGCGAGGTCCGGAACCGGGGGAAGAGGACCTACCTCCGCCGCCACCTGCACCGACAGCGGCAGGAGACTACCTACCGATTGTTCAGGAGTTCCGGGTCATGCATACTCCAAGGTTTGAGGGATCGTTGGATCCCGAGGTTGCAGAAGAATGGATGACATGCATCACACGGGACCTGGAATATGTTCAGTGCCCCCTACATTATCGAGCACTACTAGCGAGCCATCACTTGTCCGGACAAGCTCGACATTGGTGGGCGAAGGTGATACATGAGATGCCGGATGGACATCAGTTCACCTGTGAGGAATTCAAGGAAGAATTTGAGAGAAAGTACTACCGCCGACAGAATCAAGAACGCCGCCTCTCTGAGTTCTTAAACCTGCAACAAGGGAACATGACTGTGAGGGAGTATGAAGGTGAATTCGTACGTATGCTTAATTATTCGGTGCATCTGGTGCCCCGGGAAAGCCAGAAGATCAATAAGTTCGTCGTGGGACTGCGACCCTCACTCCGCTGGAGAGTCACACTCCACGAGTTCCGAACTCTGAGCCATTGCATTGATCAGCTGGAGAAGGCAGAGGAAGCGGAGAATGATGAGAGAGCCAGCAGGGCCCGTGACCGTAGTCCTCCCAGACGCCACCCCTATACGCGTCTGTCAGGGAAGACCGGTCAGACTGGCCAGAGCAGCCGAATACAAGACAAGGGTAAGGCGCTAGCCACCCAGGCACCACCTCCGCCACCTTGTCGAGGACCACTTGTTTGCTATCGATGCCAGCAGCCAGGACACTATGCGGCATATTGTACGGTGAGACCCGCAGAGTCGCAAGCGCAAGCGGCTAGACCACCACCTCCACCGACACCTGCGGCTGGAGTTGGAGTGGTCCCGAGGGTTTATGCTCTACAGGCGGAACAAGAGATTCATGAGGAGGAGGTTCATCTCGACGGAGTCGAGGCAGATGCGATCACATGTACTCTCCTATCTATACGGTTATCGTATTATTGTTGAATCGTGGTAACCCATTGTTTGTTTTAGTGCAAAGGTAACAAAGAAACATCGCAGGTACCCTTCGCTTATACGGGGTGTCTTGTTATACATTGTTTGACATTGGGGCGACTCACAGTTTTGTGAGTGCGGACATAGTGGAGAGAATCGGTACAGGAGAGGTCGATCCGATGAGTAATTTTACAGTGCGTACACCGGAAGGGGAAACCCTTACAGTTCAAGGGACCTCGTGTGGCGTACCCCTTGACATTTGCAGCCGAAAAATGACAGCAGAACTTATTGTGGTGCCCATAGGAGTCTATGACCTCATATTGGGCATGGACTGGTTGACGAAATATCAGGCTTATATCGACTATCCCTAGAGGACGATCTTGTTTCAAGAAGATTCAGGAGGATTTGAGTTTAGAGGGAGGGGGCACCATCGACGGACCCAATTATCTCGGCGCTGAAAGCCGAAAAGATGATTAGGAAGGGCAGCGATGCGTTCCTAGTGGTTATCACGACTACTAAAGAACCGGAGAGTAGATTGGAAGATATACCTGTTGCTCGGGAATTTTCAGATGTATTTTCGGATGATTTACCGGGAATACCTCCAAGCAGGAAAGTGGATTTCAGCATTGATGTGCTACCGGGCACAGAGCCGATCACTAAGACTCCATACCGGATGGCACCGACAGAGATGGCTGAGCTGAAGAAGCAACTGAACGAGTTAGTGGAGAACGGGTTTATACGCCCAAGCGTTTCACCGTGGGGAGCACCGGTACTCTTTGTGAAAAAGAAGGACGGGACTATGCGTCTGTGTATTGATTACCGCAGGCTCAACCAAGTGACAATCAAGAATCGGTATCCGCTGCCGAGGATTGATGAGTTACTGGACCAACTGCAGGGGGCCAAGTAGTTCTCGAAGATCAACTTACGATCGAGATATCATCAAATTCGGGTCAAGGAGGAGGACATACAGAAAACGACGATTCGAACCCGATATGGACATTTTGAATTCGTAGTCATGCCCTTTGGACTCACGAATGCATCAGGCAGTTGATGAACCGCGTGTTTATGGACTACTTAGACGAGTTCGTCATCATCTTCATTAATGACCTTCTCATCTATTCGTCGGACCACAGATGCACGAGGAGCATCTAAGGAGGATTTTGTAAAATTTAGAAAACACCGTCTATACGCAAAGTTCAGCAAGTGCAGTTTCTGGTTACAGGAGATTGGTTTCTTGGGTCATGTTGTATAAGCCCAGGGAATCCAGGTGGACCCGGCTAAAATTGAGATAGTTATAGATTGGAAACCCCGACTTTTGCTATGGAAGTTAGGAGTTTTCTCGGGCTTGCAGGTTATTACAGAAGATTTGTGGAGGATTTTGCCAAGATAGCCCGACCTATGACGAAGCTGACAGGGAAGAATGTCAAGTTTGAGTGGATTGCTGAATGTGATGCTAGTTTCCGAGAATTGAAGCAATGTTTGACCTCAACACCTATTCTAGCAGACCAGGCGTACTATATGAAATTTACACCGATGCATCCAAGCAGGGACTCGGCTGTGTGTTGATGCAGGAGGGACATGATCGCCTACGCATCGAGGCAACTGAAGAAATATGAGGAGAACTACCCAACGCACGGTATGGAACTAGCAGCGGTAATTCATGCACTAAAAATTTGGAGGTCGTATCTGTATGGTGAGAAGATTAAGCTCAACACGGATCATAAGAGCTTGACCTACGTGATATCCCAGAAGGATCTAAACCTAAGAAAACGACGATGGTTAGAGTTGATCGCAGACTACGACCTGGAGATAGCATACCTCTCGGTAAGGCTAACGTGGTAGCAGATGCACTCAGTCGAAAAGGGTCTTGGCTGCTATCCATACAGTGAGAAGTCTTATGCGGATCAGAGGAGGAGAGACTTTACAGTAGAGGTGGGCGATCTTGTATTTCTCCGAGTGCATGCGATTAGAGGGCATACACGGTTTGGGAAGACAAGGAAGCTCAAGTCGCGCTACGTTGGACCATATCCTGTGATTGCGAAGGTTGGAGTCGTAGCATATCGATTGGAGTTACCCCCAGAACTCGGCCACATTCACGATGTATTCCACGTATCCATGTTACGGAAGTACATCGCGGATCCTTCGCATGTATTACGACCACAAGAGATTGAGTTAACCAGTGATGTCAGAATCCTCGATCAACCACTTCAGATTGCGGAACAAGAAGATTCCTTTGGTCAAAGTCGTCTGGAGAAGCCAGGGAGTCTCGGACATGACATGGGAGCCAGAGCAGGAGATACGCGACCATTACCCACATCTTTTTGGTACGTGTGACAACCCAGAGTACCGTAGGAGGGCGGGAAATGATCGCCGGTGCAGAGGCACGGACAAGGGGCGGCTCCTGACGAGCTTCTGGGTAGGGGGTACAGGGATGAATCGAACACACCGGAATGAGAGAGATCCGAGGGCTGTATAGGTATGGGACTATACGGTCTAAGATAACATAAAAGAATTAGTTGAGCTACTCATAGCAACAAGGTGCACCTACCTTTTTGGTTGACTATCCCGAGAGAACTCCAAAGTTAAGCGTGCTGACTCTGGAGCAATCTAAGGATGGGTGACCTACTGGGAAGTGTCTCGGTATGCGTGCGAGTGAGGACAAAACACGCTGAAAGGTATCGGGTTGCTGTGTGAGGGCAGGTTCGACAATTCGTAGCGGTCGCGGGTTGTTACAGTGACTTCATCTCGCAGCAATGTCGTAGAGCTGACTGGGATGTTGGGGCATTTGACGTTGGAGCGGGAGGAACCAACTCCGACGTTGGTGGAACGAGTGATCATGGGACAACCTAGTGATCCCTTACTATCGCGGTACTGCGATTGTATCGAGGAGTATAGCCCAAAAGACTACCGCATTGACGAGAAAGGAGCATTGCGTTTGGGAAACTTGTTATGTGTGCCAGATGACCCTGCGTTGAGACAGGAAATATTAGCCGAGGCACATGAGACGAGGCTAGCGATACATCCAGGGACAAGTAAGATGTATCAGAGTCTACGCCGATGGTGCACTGGCCAAGGATTAAGAGAGACGTCGCTGACTATGTAGCTAGATGTCTCACTTGCCAACAGGTGAAGGCATAACGACAGATGTCGGGAGGAAAATTGCAGCCGTTGGAAATACCGCAATGGAAGTGGGATTCGATCGCCATGGACTTTGTGGCCGGGTTACCACTTACACCGAGGAAGAAGAACGCCATTTGGGTAGTCGTAGATCGACTAACCAAATCTGCTCATTTTCTCCCTATACGACAGGAATATTCGATCGAGCAGTTGGCGCAGATCTACGTCGACGAGATTGTGAGATGGGGTACCGAGCGAGATCATCTCGGATCGAGATGCTCGATTTACATCGCGTATATGGAAGGCAATACAGAATGCGTTGGGGACGAAGCTGAAGATGAGTACATGATATCACCTCCAGACAGATGGACAGTCGAAAAGGACGATACAGACATTGGAGGATATGCTTCCCGCATGTGTATTGGAATGGAGAGCTCCGTGGGATCAGTACATGACGTTGTGCGAGTTTGCGTGCAACAACAGTCACCATGCGAGTATCGGAGTATCACCGTATGAGGCATTATATGGGAGATCGTGCAAGACGCCTTTGTGTTGGACAGAGATTGGAGACGTCTTCACCAGAGCTTTCAGCGTCTTGTACTTTTCAGTACGCACTAGCTCCTCAAACATGGTCTTGAGCTGATTGATCATATCAAACATACTCTTCCCCTCAAACTGCCTCTGCAGATTCGGGGCCATGCTTCCCAACATGAGACAGGAGATCTCATTGTCGTCAGTCTGATGCTTCAACCAAGCATCCCTGACGGCTCTCGTGGCATTGGTCGCAGGCTCTGGTGGTAGAGTCCCTTTCAGGACGTATGACTTCTTATCATGCTTGAGAACTATTCTCAAGTTACGATACCAGTCCAAGAAGTTCATCCCGGTCAACTTATCCTTCTCAAGGATAGATCGCATCATCAACAGCTAGTCCATCATCAATCAATGACAACATAGATGCAAACACAAGTTATATTCCCATAAAGAAAACTAACCCTACAATAATTTTCTATATGGGACTAAGATCCGTATTTCACATAAGAATGAATTGTTACACTCAGCCTTATGCTATTTAGGTAGACATCTAATGTCAATCATATCCAATATGACTCTTAGATCCTTTATGAGACTATGATATCAAATATCATTACATACTCGTCTCATCTGTACCATTAAGTCTCAAATCAAACTTGACAACTTAACCTAAGGTAAACCATGTTCAAGCTGTGGGAACCACGATTTCCCACCCTACCTCACAAAGATAATCCGGCACGCTCAACTTTGGCATGACCCGTGTTACAGATGGTCGATGCCTTGACAGGCGCTCTAGTAATGGGAGGTACACGCTTAACATTACATAAATAAGGGATTTTCGAAACCACACCTAGATCAAGCATCTACTTTCAAGCTATGAGAACCACCATTTCTCCATCTTGTTTCACCAAGATAGCACGGCACACCCAGCTTTGGCATGGCCCATGACACGTACGATCGAGGCCTTGACAAGTGCTTTACTCATAGAGCTACTAGATCTAACCGGTTTCTGTGCAACGATTAACATAATCCGAATAGACCATCTATTTGATTATGTAATCCCAATCTCGAAGCTCCCACTCAATCAACCATATCCCATATCTTGATCAAGTTACATGCATTCATTCACTATGG